GATGTGTGTGCTCAAGGAGGTTTGTATTTGGAAACACAGCAGGGCAGAACCTTGCCTTGATCACAGGGGCCAGGGTTAATTACAGTGTGGAGATGGGTACAATCAGCTGGCATCTCAGGGAGGCTGGATGGAGCAGCTGCATCCCTGAAGGTGCTGGCTATGAGTTAGGGTCGGAGGTATGGACACGCCCTTGTTTTTACCCACTGGATTTCTTTGTCATCTTTTGTGCTGTTCAAACCAGAACTAATAGCCAGAGCTGTTTTCCTGGCTGTGCCATGCAGGGGGTTCCCATGGTACTCTGTAGGTGCCAGTGCCAGCACAGGACAGAATCCCTTGATGTGTAGGAAAGCCCAGGTGAATCCCAAAAGTCTTTGACACCAATGGGAAAATGTCAGGCCCCAGCATCTGCCACCATTTGGTGAATGGGAACAGAAAGCCAGGAATTTCAGCATAATATTATTATAAAGCAGAACTTGTATGAAGTCCCACTTTGCTCACACTGCAGTAATCTGTCCTGAGCTTTGCAATCAGTGCCTGTGCAGCTCAGCTTAGTGCAAGTTTTCCTAAATCCAGCCTTAAGCTACTCTTATAAGCTGTTATGGAAGGAACAGAGCTGCCTATGAAGCCTGGGGCCCTTCCCAGCCAGCCAACCCACCTGACACAGTGCAACTCACCTGGCCTGCTCCTGGCTTCAAAAACCGTGCTTGGAAAGTTCTGTTATAACTGGTTTTAGGGCATATGTTAAAATACATTTTTTGTTCTGGCTTGGACAGGTCTCCTCCCCAGCGCAGGTGCTCTGCAGAGGGAATGCTGAAGGGTCAGGCCTGGGGCAGTTGTGGCTCCGCTCCCGTGGACAGCCCCGGAATGGTTTCCGGAGCGTGTGCCTGCTCACCCAGCTATCATTTGACTCACAGACATAAACAAAAAGCTCACTGCTGAGGCCAGCAGGGCAACCTCTCAAATTGCTGGGCAGCTCTGGGTCACGTCACGAGTTTTTCTGCCAGGTTAATTCGCTCCATGGGCTGGATTTCCTCCTTCAGCGGATGGACGTAGGAGGGAGCTTCCCTCAGCCTGGGCACCTGGGCCAACCTGTGTGGTGGAGCTGCTGCAGAGGCGCTGCTCTGACTGCTGTGCCCCTGCCCGGCTCTGTGGCCTCCTGCCACCCCACCACAGGCTGTGCCAGGCGAGGGGCAGCGCTGGGCACACCTCCCACTCACACCCTCGCCCTCACCCATCCCTGTGGCAGCTGCAGAAGCGTTGCCTGCGGGAGGCCTGGCACACTGTGGAGCCCGGGAACGTGGGGACAGGTCCACCAGCCTCTCTCTGTCTGTGACCTCTGCAGGCACAGTGCCTCGCAGGATCCAGCGGGGCTCTACAGACACCACGGCACCAAAAGCCACCTGAGCTGAGGCCACGTGTTCTGGGAAGAGCTCCAGCACACACCAGGAGCATGCAAAGATCAACCGCAGCCTGTAGCTCGCCTTGCTCACCTCCGGGCCAGATAAGAAGGAAGATGATGTGTCCCATCCTTGTGATGCTAGGGATCTTTCAGGTTTTGACCCTAAGTTTTCTGACACGTGTCCTTTCAGACTGGCAGGAGTGCCTGGCAGGCTGGAGGCTTGGTCTGCCCTGCAGAGACAGCCTGGGGAAGATGGGGTGGCAGGGACCTCATGCAGCTCAGCGCAGAGAAGGGCAGGGCCCTGCTGGGGCAGGAGCAGCCCCCACACCAGCATGTGCCGGGCCACCCAGCTGGAAGGGAGCTTGGCAGAGACAGCCATGAGGGGGCTGGCGGCAGGGAGCAGGCTGGGCAAGAGCCAGGAACACACCTTGGCAGGGAACAAGGTGGAGGGTGTCCTGGGAGCATTAGCTGAGGGCTGAGAGCAGGCACAGGGAGGATCTTTCCCCTGCACTCAGCGCTGCATGGCCACGCCAGGAGTGCCGCACGCAGCGTGGGGCTGGCCGGCAGCGGGAGAAACCCTGGAGAGCTTCCAGAGGGGTCACTGCCATGGAGAAACACTGGAGCATCTCTCCTGCGGGGCCAGGCTGGGCGCGCCGGGGCCTGCGCCGCCTGGGGGAGGCTCGGGGGGCGCGGGCAGGCCAGCACGGCTCTGAGGGCCGGCAGGAAGCGCGGCCATCGCCGGGAGCAGCGAGGAGCCGCGGCCCCGTCGGGTGTCCGGCCGGGCCGGGCCGCGCGGGGGAGCTGCGGCCCCGCCAGAGGGACCGGCGGGACGGGCCGAGATCGGGCACCCTGGGATCCAGCACCGGCACCCCGGGATCCTGCTCCCACATCCCGGGATCCAGCTCCAGCATCCCGGGGATCCGGCTCCCACATCTCGGGATCCAACTCCGGCATCCCAGGATCCAGCTCCGGCATCCCGGCATCCAGCTCCGGCATCCCGGGGATCCAGCTCGCGCATCCCGGGGCTCCAGCTCTGGCATCCCAGGATTCAGCTCTGGCATCCCGGGGATCCAGCTCTGGCATCCCGGGATCCAGCTCCAGCATCCTGGGGCTCCAGCTCCAGCATCCCGGGGCTCCAGCTCCCACATCCCGCCGGGTCCCACCCCGGGCACCCGCCCACCCCCGGGAGCCGCCCCCAGGGCGCCCGGCCGCCTCAGGTGTCCCCAAGGGGCAGGGTGTGCCGCCTGTGCCGTCCGTCTGTCCTGCCGGTCTTAGCACGCTGTGCATCCCAAGGAGCGGCCCCTGCACCCCGGAGGCACCGCCACAGCCCCGGCCCGGCCTGACCCGCGGTGTCCCCTTGGTGCAGGGGCCCAGACCAGCACAGAGGGGCGAGGCACCAAGGACAGGCTTTCAGGTTTTTGCACTCACAGCTCCAGGCACAGCCATAGTCGTTGCCTGTCCTGAGACTTGAATTCCCTTTTGCCCAGGCCTGGTGGTGTTTGTTCTTGTTGCACTTTGAAGAGCACTGTCTCCCTGCATCCTTGGGCAGCCCTGGCTCTGCTTGAGCCCAATAACAGAGTGGAGTCAGCTCTGGGGATACTGGGGCCTCCTGCTCTCATCAAAGTTTGGGCCAGTTTCCATGAGCAAGACAGAAAAGCCAGAACCACACCTTCTTGCTCTGCTGTCCTCAGCAATCTGTGGATTTGTCTTGTTTTTTTCTTGAAGGAGGAATATTCAGACTCTAGAGATGATTGCTCTGAACACAAAGCGCCTGTCAGCCTCTCTCCTTGCCCCCAAAGGACAGGGTTAAATCCATCTTTAACCCAAACTAAACACCACCATAAGAAATGCTTTCTTCCCTTTCGAAAGAAAAGAAATCAGCAAGATGTGTCAGTAACATGCGAAATCCCTCCTTTTAGTTTTGAAATAGCGTGGTCGATTTGTTTTCCTTCTGTTTTTCCAGCCTTTGGAAGCAATCATTGGGAAAAGGCCTCCCCAGTTTCAGGTGCCGTTTGCTGTGCAGCTCTGTGGGCTGGTGTCGCGCCAGCCTGGCAGTGCCATGGCTGCTCGGGGCTCTGCTGCCCTGGGGCAGCCGGGCACGGGCTGGGCAAGCGCTGGCCCGGCAGCCCCAGGAGAGCCTGTGCTGGCAGAGGGGGTAGCTGTCCTCGGGGAAGCTGAGCCATGGAAACAGAGGCGAAGGAGCCTGTGCTCAAGGGACCCATTATCCCTGAGAGAGGCTGCTCGGGGGAGGCTTTTAGAGAAGCCTTTGCCTCCCACTGCTCTCCAGCTGCCGAAGGCTGGCTGTCCTTCTCCTGCCAGCCTCCCTGGTTGCTTCCCCCCGCTCTGCTGTGCTCAGCGCTGCCGCAGGGACCCACACGGCCCTGGCCCCCTCTCCTGCCTTCCCTTCCCAGGGAGCCGGAGGAAAGGGAGGCACAGCGCCATCCCACACGAATCCTGAGGTCAGCATCGTCTGCCATCCCCTTGCCACAGCCGCTTCCTCTCTCACACGAGATGTTTTCTTTGTGTCTGGCAGCTCCATCCCTGCGGAGCTACCGTGGGAGAGAGGGGTGGAAAGGAGGAGCTGGAGTCCACCTAAGGAGGGTGCCTGCTCCCAGGGCTGCAGGCACCAGATTTGGGGTGGTTTTGAGACCCTGCATTAGGGACTGGGGGTGCTTGGCTTGTGCACAGCCTTGCTTCAGGAGGAGCTCACACGGCCTCCCGTGCCACTTGCTGTGCGTGTGACTTCTGTGGGCATGTTTGGAGGAAATGTGAGTCTGTGCCAGGCCTGGGCCATGGTGCTGGTGCGTTTGTAAGGGCACCTGGGGTTCCCTCCTGTGTGGGCGAGGCCCAGCCATGTCACGGTGGTGCAGAGATGCTGTGCCTGCGCGCTCCCCGGGAACGGCGTGTCCAGAACACTTCCTTTTGGCAGGAGGTGCACAAGGATACAGGACTGCCAGAGCACAGCCTGAATTTCCCTGAGCACACAGAGGTCCACACTCATGGCCGGGAGCCTTTCTTGGAACATGCTGCTTGTGTGACCCCACTGTGGGCAGTGCGACTGAGAGCTGTGCCATCGGGACCATTTCCCTGCCATCCAAAGGATGGAGGGTGAGAGCCAGGCTGTTCCTGGAGCTGGAAAAGGAGCCAGACAGGCCGTCAGGACGGCTCTCCGTCCGCCCCAGCCCCCTGGCACACGGCAGGGATGGGATGTTCAGGCTCGCCGGGTGCCGACCGGCAGCGCAGCCCTTTGGGGAGGCGGGTGGCGGCCCCCAGAGCAGCCCCGTGTGCCGGGGCTCCCCGCAGCCCGCTCCGGGCGGGCGGTGCCCGAGCGCCCCGCGGAGGCCGGGCAGGGGCTGGGGCTGCGGGGAGCCCCCGCCGCAGGTGGGAAGCGCCGCCCGGGTCTCGTCCCGCCGCCCAAGGGGAAAGGAGCGGGAGAGGAGCCGGAGGGAGGAGCGGAGGGCGGGATTCGGAGCGGGAGGGAGGGAAGGAGGAGGAGCGGGGCGGGAGCCCGGGCCGGCCCCGCCCGCCCCGCCGCTCCGCACCTGAGCGAGCAGCGGCGGCTCCGCGCCGGCCCCGGCCCCGGCCCCTCCGACGCCCGCCCATGGCTCGGCCGCTGCCGCTGCTGCTCTGCCTGGCCGCGCTGGGCGCCGGCTGCCGGGCGGAGAGCCAGCCCGCCGGCACGGCCGGGCCCTCGGCCGAGCCGCTGCAGGACGAGGCGGACAACCAGGAGAACATCCTCTCGCAGGTACCGCGGGGACTGCGGCACGGCCGGGCCGGGCTGGGCGCGCCCTGCGGGGCGCTGGCCGCTGCCGCGGGCTCGGGGTGCTCGGCAGAGCCGGGTGCTCCTGAGCGTGGACTTCTCGGCAGTGCTGGATAGTGCTGTGCACACTCGGGGTGATGCTGGGTGCGCGCTGTCGGTGGAGCTGGGTGATGCTGGGTGCACGTTCTCGGTGGAGCTCAGTGATGCTGTGCACCGGAGGAAGTTCATCACGGAGGGCGCAGTGAAATCACTGAAGCCCATCAGGGAGCACTTCGCAGACGCCATCCTATCATTTCTCCGGGGGGGACTCAGAAAAAGGGAAACTCCTTGAGAGGAGAATTGGTGGGGCCTCTTTGTGTGCCGAGGGGAGGGATCCGGGCTCTTTCCCTGCCAGTGGGATGCGGTGGAGGTTTCTGTTAGATTTGGCTGATCAGGCAGCGTGTTATTATCTGCCCTCGGAAATGGCTAACGCAGAGACTATTGCAAATGTACCGCCAAAGTTATTTTTGTGCTTGGGCTTCCAGAAGCGCTGTCTGCAAATCTCCGTAAAGGAAATTCCTGGCATTGTATAGGGCTAATCAGAAGTACTGCTTCACCACCAGGTTACGCTGCTTATAGGGTGGCTTTCAGTCACTCTTCCAATGTACCCTTGCCGTGTTGGCCTGTGTAAAACAGTCTTGCTCTGGGTAGCAGGTGGCTTATTGGGTCTTTTGCACACAGAGCATTAAAAGAAAGCAGAAAAATTAAAAACTCTTGTATTTAAAATTCAAAGCAGCATTCTGCGCACAGTACAATAAAAAACACAAAAAGGAACCAACTGAAGGAAGCCAGTTTTTATTCCCCTTGTCGGCAGCGATTAGCTCTGCGCTCTCTAGAAAGCTCCTTGGCTTGGCAGATTCTGGAAGAGCTGGCCAGTTTCCTTGAGATTCGGGGTATCCAGAGTGTCCTTGTTTGGACCTTGAGCTCCGGGCCGTGCTTGTCCCCGGGTGTGCAGAGGTCAGGAGGTTTCTCACTGCCGGTGACCTGTGCTCAGCTGCTAGGTGACTACGACAAGGTGAAGGCGGTGTCCGAGGGCTCCGACTGCCGCTGCAAATGCCTGGTCCGGCCCCTGGGCCGCGGCGCCTGCCAGAGGATTAACGAGGGCGCCTTCAGAGCCGAGGACTTTTACACGGTGGAAACCATCACGTCAGGGCCCAGCTGCAAGTGTGCGTGCGTGGCCCCCCCCTCAGCTCTCAACCCTTGCGAGGGCGACTTCAGGCTGAAAAAGCTGCGGGAGGCAGAAAGCAGCGACCTGAAGGTAGGAGAGCAGCTTCGGCTCCTGACTCTTTGGGGACAAGGTCATCTTATGAAGCCTTTTTTTTTTTTTTTTTGCTGAGCTTTTTCTGAAAAAAACCTCTATTTCCTAACATTTTTCTTAAGTCATCTCCTAGTTATATTTATATCTGCATGTTTGATAAAGAAAGCAAGCTCAGCTTAAGGGACTGAGTCGAGCAGCTGCAGTGGATGATTCACTTGATTCATCCTGTGCTGCGTGGGGTCCACTGTGGCTTTCTGTGCTGAGAGCCCAGTAGGGACTGGGCTGCTCCCTGCCCCCTGTCCAGCTCAAATGTCCCTGGAGGACAGCTCTGCTCTCCTCAGCAGCTGCCAGATCTTTTTTCTGTTGCCGACAGGGACTCCCAGGGACCCATGCAAAAAAGCTGATTTGGCTTCCATGGCCCGAAAGCTGCTGATGCGTCAGCGCGAGGGTGTGATGCACAGCTGGCTGATGGCAGGATGGATTTGTTGTTTTAAATGCTGACACTTCTCTACTATTTAGTATTTTATCTCTCTAGTAATACATACTTCTTTTCCAAAAGTCACAGTGTTTGTTTTAAGTACTCCTGTAGTACTTTTACTGGATACTTCCTTTTGCTGGTGTAGCAGCTGGCAGCAGACCCTGCTGAGTTTTCCAGTTTGCCTCCTGTGCCACTGGCTTGGTCCAGGCCCAGTGAGTCCCTGGAGTAGCAGGTTGAGTTCTGGTGGCACTGGTGTCCCTAAATCCCTCTCTGGTGGGAAGGGGGTGGCGTGCAAGGTGCCGTGGGGCAGTTGCCATTGAGGCCACCATGATGGGCTTGTTCTAATTAATTTGGAGCTCGAGGATGTGTTTCATCTTACTCAAGTGCAGACAGTTAGCAGCTTCTTGTCCAAGCTCCCCTGCAGCTAGGGAAGATAAACAGGCACAGGCAAACAATCCATCATTCCAGGGAAGGATGACTCCCAGTCTGGAGTTGTTTGGTGGTCCCTCATCTGGGGAAACGCCAGGAGGTCCCACATGGCCTTAGATGAGAGTCTGAGCTCTCTGCGGTGAGGGGAGGGGACACCCCGAGGCGACAGAGCCACCCCTGTGGTCCCTTGCGGGGAAGCAGGCGGAGCTCCTGCACCAGCAGCTCCCAGCTCCCTCCTCATCCTCCTCCAGGAGGAGCAGAACTCCTGAGCAGAACTCCTGGCCATCCCTTGGCTCCGGCAGCGCTTCCCAGCGGGCGCTGCTCGCAGCCAGCTGTGGTGTGAAAGGCTGTCTGCCTGTCTGTGTGTCTGTCTGTCCTCTAGGAACTGGCCCCGGCTGCCCCGCTCCTTTCGCAAGGGCTGGCGGCCAGGCGGCTGCACAAGGTTTATCCAAACACACACACTTGGGGTGTTCTGTGCTGCCAGCGTCCAGCCCAGCAGCTGGGCAGCAGGATTGCCTTCCCTCCAAGCACAGAGCCCCTCCTGGGGTCAGGATCACTGGCAGCAGCCCATTCCTGTAGGACAGGCTGGGAAGAAGGAGAGGACACAGCTCCAGTTCTTAAGCTACTCATGAGGAGCAGCTCCCACAACTCATCAGTGAGTGAACCCCTCAGCTCTAGCAGCCCCAAAGGGTTTTGCTCTCTTTGCTGGTCCAACAAGCATTGCTCTTTCCCGGCCCAGCAGCTGGAAGGGCCCAGGGTCATTTGTATGTTGTGTTTTACCAGGCTTTCTTATGATCTGACACAACAGCCCTGGGTACTCCCTGTGTGGGAGAGCTGTGGGAAGGTCCCTCCCTTGGGTGGGCTGGAGGATGAGTCCCCGAGGGAATGATGAGAAAGAGCAAGACATCCAGGCAGCAGGAACACAGCCCAGGGCAACCAAGCTCAGCTGAATGCCTGCACGGGGCTTTCCAGCTGAAGGTTTCAGTCCCATCTGTGCCTTTAGTAAGGTCCAATGGGAATTCATGGACCATCAGACCATGGGAGCCAGAGTCTACAGTGGGTGAAGGGAGGGAAGCAGTGAGTTGAACAGGAACATCAGTGTGGTCTTTGGGGAAGGTTGGCAGGGAGGAGCTTTATCTCAGGTCTGTGAAATGGCAGCAGGCTGCCTGCAGGCACAGCGCGAGTTTTGGCGGTCTTGGTGCAGAGTCAGTGCAAGGAGGCTGTGCTCAGGATCATCTGCAAGGAGGTTAATGCAGTCTGCAACCTTTGTGCATTGATGGAAATTCTCCAGCCTGGAGGGAGAGTGGTTGTCTCCAGTGGCTGTCTGGCAGGCAGTGTGCATTGTATCGGCCGTCTCCATCCAGCTCTCAGTGGAAAGTGGATGCACAGCCATAAAACAGCTCTTGTCTCTTAATGCTGTCATTTTATCTGGCCCAAAAAAATCTTTCCTTTGCTGTCAGCTCCGCAGGGAGGTTGCAGAGGCTGGGGTGGAAACTCCAAGTGCTGCCAGCAGTGCTGCCTGTGATTCTCCCATGTTTATGAAGCTCTGCTGACCAGTTTGTAGCTGCTGGGAGAAAATGTCACCGCCCTGTAGTAATTCCTATGCACTGAAAATCCTGCTCAGCCATCGGGGTTGTAGAATCCACAGCACCACGCTGGACACGTGGGGACACATGGGGACACACGGGGACATGTGGGACCAGGAGGAGGTGGCCCCGGAACCCTTCCCACCAGCCATGCCGTGCTCAGCACTGTCCTCTGTGGCACAGCACCAGAAACAGGACAAAATGCAGAACAAGGGCTCTCCTCTCCAGATCCCCAGGGGTGACCAAGGGCTGATGCTGGGCAGGACACAGGCACAGGGGTGACTTAAATACAGGGTGTCTGTGAAATGGGGGGCTGCAAGAGAGAGCAGCATCCCTGTGATAAAATTGTTGTTCAGAAAGGCAACTGTTGCCAGGCTGGCACCGAATTTCTATTTCTTCACTCTTGCAATTTGAGAGTATTTTAAAACTTTTTAACAAGTTTCTTCTTGTTCCAGGAAAAAGAGCGCAGGATGGCATGAACTCAGAGTCTGATCTCAAACTGAGCTGCCTTTTCCTTGTTGCCTCTTTTGCTGGCAGTCCCATCACTGGTGGAGTAGTTAAGCCTTTGGGCTTGTGCGAGAGCCTGCCTAGAGCTGGCAAAGGGAGCAGCATTTTACCTTGCTCTGCTACTGATCCCCAGCACCCAGCATGTGCTCCTGGAGCCCTGAGGCTCTGTGGAGGTGGTGAGCATCACTCTGCAGGCCATGCTCTGACCAGGGCAGCAGTGCAGCAGGGCTGTGGAAGGGAAACCTTGCCTGTTAATCCAAATTCTTGCACTCAGGTGGAGTGCACTTGACTTTTTGGCTGAAGTAGCTCCACGGGGGTATGTTAGAGCAAGTGCTGCTGCCTGACTGTTCTCCCCTTGCCTTGCAGCTCTCCTCCATCGTCGAGATGCTGGAAAGTGCTTTTTATGGCTTAGACCTTCTGAAGCTGCACTCAGTCACAACCAAGCTGGTGGGTCGGGTGGAGAAGCTCGAGGAGGTGAGTCCTGCTCTCCTTCAGTGCCCTTGCCCTCGGTGGGCCTGACCTCCAGCCAAGTTCCTGCTGCCTTTGGTGCATTCAGAGCCACGTTGCCTGGGAAGAAATGTCAATTAACTATTTGGCTGAAACTAAACCAGACCAGACTTGGGTGTCTGAACCAGACCTGATCACAGGCAGTGCTCAGTGCATCCCCATCCCACCAGCCCTGCCTGACCCTCTCCAGCTCTCGCAGTCCCTCAGGGTTTACACTGGGAGCGGGGTCCCAGCTGTGGCCTCAGCAGGAGCAGCACCTCCTTTGGGTCAGAAGGCCCTGCTGTTACGTTTCTCCTCTTCTCAGTTTTACTTGCATGCTGCTGTGATGGTTGCTCTCAACCAGGAGCTTTTGTGCTGTTTGATGTGGGGGCAAGAGGTTCGAGGCTGGTGCTGGGGTACACTCAGCAGGACTGTGGGGAGCCAAGGAGCTCGCATTCCTGAAGGACCAAGTTACGTCTTGGCCTGTGTTAAAACAGAGCAGAACCCTCAACCTTCCATTTAATTTTAGAGCAGACTTCCAGTGAAATAATTTTCACTTCCATGCAGTTTAATATTTCTTTGGCTAGCACAGCGTAGGGTTTGCAGTTTAAGCTCTGCTTGGCTGTGTAGGAACAGGTTGCCAGATTAAATAGTGGAGTTTTCTCCCGTGGTCTGTATCTGGGACGGTAATTCCACATTCTTGTCGGAGTGGAGCAGTCCTGTTTGTCTCCAGCCAGGAGCTGAGAGGCAATGATTTACAAAGCCAAAATTCCACTTGCAAAGCGTTTCGGGAAGGCACGGCGTGCTCCGTCCCGGGGTCAGGAAGGAGGCTGCTGAGGGGAGCACACTGCCTGGGGGCTTTGAGTTTCCAAGCATGGAAATTGACCCCAAAGGGGTTTTGAGGTCTGAAAATAACAAAGCACCCATGTTCCCCTTTGCAATCACACCCTCTTGCTGTGGTTTAGTGCGTTCTTCAGTCATTACTTGGGTTTGCCAAGGGATTGTTTCAGGTGGTGTTATCACTGAACTCTGCTCCAGTATCAAAGTGGCCCTGCCTACCAGCTGCTGGTTTCTGCAGGGGCGTTCAGAGCCAGCAGTGCTGGTGGCTCGTTGGGCACGTGGGATGGCCTCTGCAGCCTGGTCACTCCGCTCACAGCCTGTCACAGGCAGGCAGGTGGGCAGAAAGCTCCCTAGGGCTGAAGGAATTTGGCCTGGGATGGAGTTGTAGAGGTGTAGGAGCAAGGAATTCACAGGGGTCTCTAATTTCCCAGAAGTGAGGGTGCAGGATCATGTGAAAGCAGCTGCAGCTTCCTGCAGGCACTTGGACAGGATGGAGAAAGGCAGGAGAGGCCTTGGTGAGAAGGAGATTGCCCAGTGCTTGGGGCAGAGCCCAGCTGATGCAGACAGCAGGTGTGAAATGCCTCCTGCTGCTGGCTTAGCACGGGAATTCCTGTGGAGAGGATGTGGAGGAGGATCACAGCCTGCACCGGCCTGGGCTCTGACAGCAGGGACAGCTGAGATGCTGAACTGGAGCCTGGCACGGCTTCAGAGCATCGCCCTCCCGGGCGGGTTGCTTTTGGCAGCTGCTGCCCGGCACAGCAGCTGAGCAGCCTCAGCAGCATCGCAGGCCAGGCTTTGGTGCTGCCTCTCTGCTCTGGGGGAGGCAGATTTCAACCTTGAGCAGGTCACAAGCCAAACATGACACAGGAGAAGCGGTAAGGGCACAAGGCTGTTGGAATCAGTCATCCTCTCCAAAGGAGGATGGTGTCGAGAGCTGCTCCTGCACTGCTCCTGGGAGAGCATCATGAGATGCCCTGCTCCTGTGCTTACTGCAGCAGAATGCTTCCTGGAGAGTCCCTGTGTCATTGGACTCAGCCTCAGATATCCTGGCAAATCGGTGACTCATGATTCTTGGGTAAAGCCTGAGAATTCAGATGCCTGTGGAAGGGGCTGGGGGTTAACCCTCTGGTTTTGCAGGGCTTGGAAGGTTTCATGAGTTCTTTGCAGTACAACAAGGTATTTTAGACCAATGGTGTTGGTAGGCGGAAGGAACTTCCAATTCTTGGTCCATGGAGTGCCTTCTCTAGTGAGGCAGCTCCTCTGCTTTGTTTTCAGCTCACAGCTGTCGCATCAGCTGGCAATTTTGAGGTCACAGATGGAGGTCATGGTGGGTTTAGGAGAAATTAATGATGGAACAGATTGAAAATGAAGGATCAGGGTAACCACCCCCAGTGTCTGTGCTAAAGTGCTTTGACTGATGTGCCACCTATCCAAAGCAGTTGCTGTTTGAGGTGTAGAAGCCCAAGGAGTGATGAGCAGAGACTGCAGCAATCCCTCGGGTACGAGCTGTGTCTGTGGCTGGGGACTGAGAAGGGTGAAGGGCTTTGCCTGCCGAGGGAGTTGCAACGAGCCCCAGCTCTGTCCCTGTCCCAGGGCAGCTCTCTGAGGGTCAGTGGCTCTTGTCCTGTTCCCAGATTCTCAGATTCTGTGGGAGCAGAGGGTGTTGGGAAGCAGCAGTCCCTGAGTGCAGGCACTGTGTGGCCAGGCCAGGAAAGTGGGATTAATAAACGCAAGATGAACTTGCTGCCACAGGTGAAGGGCACCAGGGTGACTTAAGGTGTTTCAGCTTGTCTTTTCCTCTTCCTTTCGTGAGCTGGTGAACGTGGCTGAGGGTGGGGGTTGAAGAGCCTCAAGGCCACTCTCCCACTCCATGGGAACCTGCAGCAAAGAGTGGATCTGGGATATGTACACCAGGGATGGGGTTCCTGGATCCACTGGGGTCATGGGCATCTTCTTAGCAGCTGAAGTGCCTAGCCTCATGGAGAATCCCCAGCTGTGGGCCCAGGATGGCAGCACAGAGCTCCAGGGCTGTGGTTTGGGGCCACAGAACATCCCTTGTGGTTAAAGTGTCCTCTCCTGCTTTCCTAGGGCATGTCCAGGAACTGGACGCAGGAAGGCCAGCGGGCAGGAGCCAGCGGGGAGGAGAGTCTGCGGGATCCCCCTGGCAGGGCAAACTGCTCCAGGCTCCTCAGCAACAGCCTGGCCGACATCGAGGGCTCTCTGCAGCGGGACGCTGAGGCTGCCTACGCCCACTCGGAGGTACAGCTCGGTGTCGCTGCTGCTGCCCACGCAGCCCTGTGGCGGCTTCTGCATGTGGCCCTGCCCCGGGGGGCTCTCTCCTCGCTGGAGCGACCCCGCCGTGTGCCTCGGCACAGCCCAGCTGCTGCTGGGATGGGATGTAGGTGGAAGCAGGGGGAGCTTGCTCCCTCGGCCTCCCCCTTCCCACGGGGTTGTTGGTTTTCGAGGTCAGCGGTGGCTGAGCTGCTTGGAAAACGTGATGTCATTGTGGGGCCGGCTGGGAAGCGCTGGGAAACAGAGCCTTTGATTAGCAGGGCTTGGGGCTCGGTGGAGGGACAGCCTGTCGCCTGCCTCCCCTCCCTCCAGCCAGGCAATCACCCCTCCACCACCAGCCCCTGTGTCTGGCGGGCTCTGGGCAGGGGCTGGGCATCCCCTGGCTCTGGCACCCAGCACCAGACTGTGGGGTCCCCGTGGGTCTGCCCAGCATGGGGACATCCTTGCCTGGGGCAGCAGTTTCGGTGCAGCCCCAGAGAGATGTGAGCGGGGTGTTTTGGGAAAGGCCTGTCCAGGGTGTCCTGAAGTTCTTGCTGCTTCAGTGGGACTATCTAGGATGGCCCATGCTCCTCTGGTCCCTGCTGGGCAGCTCCTGGAGTGTCCTGCCCTCACCTCAGTGTCCCTCTGCAGGGCAATAGGAGGTGTCTGGCAGGGGGGAACAGTTAGTGCGTAATTTCCAGCTCAAGCAGGGGTGCTCAGCTCCTGAGGATGGCAAGAGCCTGTGCTTGCCCTCCACCCCTGCTCTGCAGATCCTGTGTGGGGATGGGCTCCCCAAGCCCCTGGGGACAGTGCTGGGCTTCCACACGTGCACTGTGTGTCAGCAGGGAGGGAAGTGGCGCCAAGTGAGCTGTGCCAGCACTCCCTGCCCCAGGGAGAGCCGTGCCCAGGCAGGGGTGTCCGGCTGTGCCCCCAGCCCCACTCCCCTGCTCCCACACCATGAGCTGAGCAGCTGCTGCCTGCTGGAGAGGAGCCAGCCCCAGCCAGGCAGGGGAGCAGACCATGGGGCTTTTATTACCCCGAGTGACCTCATTTCCCAATATTCCCCTTTTCTCACTGCTAATTGCAGCAGGGCCCATCTTGTCAGCCAAATGGGCACCGCTTCAACCCTCAGGCTGGCTTTTCGATTTTCTTTAATGAGATGAAATCCTTCAGACCTGAGCTGTGGCAGCTGGTTCCCTGCCCTGGGGGGGTTCCTGGTCCCTGCCTCGGGAGGTTCCCGCTCCTGCTGGGAAGGTGCCTTCAGCCTCTGTGAGAGCTCAGTGCACATTGCACACTGTTCCTGCAGATCAGCTGCTGGAACCAGCCCCTGGCATTCCAGGGAGTGACCCTACTTCTGCCTGCCCTGCACCGCACAGCGTGTGCCTTATGGAGCCCTGAGTCCCAGAACTGCAGGGTGGCACCAAGGACATGCAGGAGCAGTGCTGGTCTGCCACCCTGCTGTGTCCTGAAGGGCTTCCCATGACAAAATGGACCGAGAGAGACCCTGAGGAATGAGGGAGCTCAAATCCTTCTGCCCAGCATGGGGCTGTGCAGCCTGACCTGCCCTTTCACCAAAACATAGCATTTCTAGCCTATCTGGTAACAACCTCCTGTGTCTCTTCCAGGGGAAATATGAAGAAAGATTCCTGAAGGATGAAACCATCTCCCAGCAGATCAACTCTGTGGAATCCCTCCCGGAGCTGCACCTCTCTCTGGAGGAGAAGAAGCCTGAGCAGCTCTTGCAGAGGAAGCTGCGGGTGAGGAGCCGGCCTCCTTCCAAGCCCACCATTGTCCGAGGGGTCACCTACTACAAAGCCCAGTCCACCGAGTCAGAGAACGACATCGAGGAGCAACGTGAGTTGGGTAGGCAGCCATGGTGGGATGGTGGCTGCATCCCGCAGCAAAGCCAGTGCCTCATCTCCTGGGAATGTGGGGGCAAAGTGTGTGGGAGCACGGGGGGAGGTGGGACAGCTGGTACCTCACTGCTGTGCAGCCTTTGAGCTGTGCCTGCAGGGCAGTGTAGCATTGGTATTCCATGGAAAATCCCTGATAGCTAAGGAAATAGCTCACTTCTTTGGTTCAAAACACCCAGCATCAACACCTTTCCAGAAGGAAATGGGGCTTTATTCAATATGCTTGTGTTTCAAACCCACCTGCCCGATGGCATCCCGGGAGGATGGTGCAGTGTTTGCTGTGGTGGAAGGCAGTTCAGGGCTCGTGGCCCAGGCTGGGAGCAGGGGATGAACCCTCATGGACCAGCGGGACCATGGGCAGCACGGGCAGGGCAGAAGGGCAAGTGCCCTCGCTGTGCAGACTGGCTCAGCAAGGACATCCAGCCCTGCCCGGCAGGGGTTTGGGAGCTCCTGGAGATGAGGAGGAGCAGAGGGTGCCCGTGCTGGCTGGGCAATCCCAGTGATCCCCGTGCCCTGCCTGAGGCTCCTGCTTTGGATCCTGGGTTAGGTGAGTGGGATCTGGTTTGGAACGCAGCTGGGTCTCCATCCTGCCCATTCTCTGGGAGGTGGCAGGGCAGAATTGATTTCTGTCACCTCCCGCTCTGCGTGGCCCGAGGTGGTGGATGTCACTGTGATGGGGCCTCACTCACCTCCTGACATGGGCACTGTCAGCCTCAGGGCACACGGAGAGGGAACGCAGGTGGATTTAGTACCAGCCAGCCTGCAGCAGTGCCCAGGGAGCCGGCTGGAGGGGCCTGGCTCCCCTGGCTGCAGGCCTGACACCTGTGCCTGTGTTTGGCAGCAGATGAGCTCTTCAGCGGGGACAACACGGTGGATCTGCTGATAGAGGACCAGCTCCTGAGGCCCAGCAGCAGGGCAGGCGAGCCCGTGAGAAAGCCCTCCCCAGTGGGGTGGCCGCCCACCCCTGGCATAGCTCCCACCACCGTGCCAGCTGCGGGCACTGCTGTGACACCCACGGTGCCGCTGTCCCCTGCCACGCCAGAGCCCACCGCCGTGAGCCGGCTGACCCCCGCCCCGGAGGCCGTCACTGCCCCGGCAGGGCTGGCACAGGAGGGGACCCCACAGCTGCCAGGCACGGCCAGCACAGGGGTGGCCACAGCCACAGAGAACTTGCTCGTGGCCACCCCCACTGGAGGCTGGGGTGACACGGAGCCCAGCCCGGGAGCTTGGGTCCAGGCAAACACCCCCGCAACGCCGGTGAGCCCGGCCATCCCTGCCACGCCAAAGGAGGGCCTGGAGGAGGAGGACATCAGGAACATCATTGGTGAGTGCCTGCAGCTGCTGTGCCCATCCAGCTTTGTGAGGAGGGGCTGGCTCCTCATGGAGGATGTGTCCACAACACATCCTGATAAGCACAGCACACCTGAATTCGGTCACAGGTGGGAGGTGTGGCAGCTGGACAGCACTTCACTGGGGTGCCAGGTTTAATTTTTAACTCTGGAACCTACTGTAGTTTCCTCCCACCTTTAGGGGCTGGGTTGGGCAGAGCAAAAAGACACGGGACCTCAGATGGTCAGCAGCCTCAGCTGGAGCAGGGACGTGGCTGAGGCTGTGGGGAGATGTTTGTGGGGTCTGGCCAGTCCTGCTGGGCCTCACGAAGCTGCACCAGAGCCAAGGTGGCAGAGGGTACCTGATGGGTGAGCAAGGGGCTTGGGGAGGATGATGCCTTCAGGGAGAGCATGGCCACCCTGCCTCTGGCCTCACAAGCCTTTCCTTGCCCACGCAGGGCGCTGCAAGGACACGCTGTCCACCATCTCGGGACCCACCACCCAGAACACCTACGGGCGCAATGAGGGAGCCTGGATGAAGGACCCCCTGGCCCAGGAGGAGCGGATCTATGTCACCAATTACTACTATGGAAACACACTGGTGGAGTTCAGGAACCTTGACAACTTCAAGCAAGGTGGGTTTGCACCATCTCTGATACCATGCTAGCCACCACTGAGGTGATCCAAGCAGCATCCCCGTTCCTGGGGATGATCTGCCTAGGGACCTGCCACTCTTGGGTGCTGGCACCCGGTGTGCAGGGCACAGAGCATGGGACAGCTCAGGCTGTGGCTGGTGGCCAGGGAGGGAGTGTAGGCAGAGCTGTGGGCAGAGGTGCTGCTGGCGTGGCCACTCACCCCACAGCAAAGGGAGGTCTCAGCAGCCAGGTGTGTCTGCCCTGCAGGTCGCTGGAGCAACTCCTACAAGCTCCCGTACAGCTGGATTGGGACAGGGCACGTTGTCTACAACGGTTCCTTCTACTACAACCGGGCCTTCACGCGCAACATCATCAAGTACGACCTGAAGCAGCGCTACGTGGCCGCCTGGGCCATGCTGCACGACGTGGCCTACGAGGAGTCCACCCCGTGGCGGTGGCGAGGCCACTCTGACGTGGACTTTGCCGTGGACGAGAACGGCCTGTGGGTCATCTACCCGGCCATCAGCTACGAGGGCTTCAACCAGGAGGTGATCGTGCTGAGCAAGCTGAACGCGGCCGACCTCAGCACCCAGAAGGAGACCACGTGGCGGACGGGGCTGCGCAAGAACTTCTACGGGAACTGCTTTGTCATCTGTGGGGTCCTGTACGCGGTCGACAGCTACAACAAGAGGAACGCCAACATCTCCTATGCCTTTGACACGCACACCAACACGCAGATCATCCCCAGGCTGCTCTTTGAGAACGAGTACGCCTACACCACGCAGATAGACTATAACCCCAAGGACCGCCTGCTCTACGCCTGGGACAATGGCCACCAAGTCACCTACCACGTCATCTTTGCCTACTGAGACCCCCCCACCACAGTGGGGCACTGCAAGCCAGGGGCCACCAGCACCTTTTATTATTATTTTTATTGTTATTATTGTTATTTTGTACAAATTGAAGAGTAAATGATGGGTTTTGTTTCAAGCTGGTTTTTTATGGTGGATTGTAGATCGATCCCCAGGCCAGAAGCACTCCCTTTGTCTTTGCTGTATCCTTGCTTCTGATTTTCCTTCCCAGGGGAAGGAGGTCCTCCTTTGGAAGGGCAGGCCCGGCTCTCCTACCCAGGGAAGAGGAGGTGGCCCAGACACCGTCCTCCTGAGGATGTTTTTAGCTGGAGATGATCAGCAATACACCCTGAACCAGTGCAAAGCTGCACGCACCAGGTCCCAGCGGGATGCTGCTGCCTGCCTGTCCTGGTGGAGGACCTGCATGTCCCATGGGAATGTCCCGTCTCTCAGGACCATCTTCCCAGCTGACGGCCAGCAGGCCCCTTGGAGATCCTGCTGTACATGGGGCTGCGAGCACAGCTCCAGCAGCCCCTGGTGCTGGTACTTACGTCAAGGACTGTCCCCTCCAGCCGGGGCTCTGCTCTCTGCAGGCCGCTCTGGGGGGCTGGACGCACCCCGAGCCCTCACTCATGCCTGGAGGGAGCTGGCGGCAGGAGGGGGATGCTGTAAATACGTGTAGATGGCTTTTGTTTGTTCATCTTGTAACCCAAATAGTTCCCCTTGGCATTTGCTGGTGAAGGCTCTGCTCAGCTGGGCACTGGGCTGCCTGGGCAGGGGCTGGCAGAGCCCTCGCTGTGCCACTCCACCTCCTACATTCCCTCTCGTGCCCATGCCCGCCCTGGTCCTGGACCACCAGGATCCCCTCAGAGAGGCACAGCCCTTGCCCTCCTGCCCATCAGCATCTTGTATTTACCTGCTGTCAGTAATAAAGGATCCAGTACCTTTGCAGCTGTTTGGGGCTTTCTTTGGCTCTGCTTCACCCTCTGGGTGCATGACAATGCACAGGGGTGTTTTGGGTGGGTTTTGGTTGGTTTGGGGAGAGCCAGTTTACACACCAGATGGGGACAGACTCCAGAGGGCTTTAGGCTGCTTGGGACTGGTACTGGGGCGGGTGTGCCACGAGCACTGCCAACACTGTGCCAGGCAGAGCCACACTGCACAGCCCAAGAGATGGCAGACCAGGGCAGGTGTTCCAGTAGTTTGCCTAAGGAAGACAGTATTAACAAGCACAATAATGAAGTTATTCGTAATAAATAAAAGAAGGATTTTACTGCCTTCAGTACTAGGGACACAGAGGACAGAATTACACAGCATGAGCGATGCTCTCCACCACCAGAGCCCAGGGCTGCTGACCGAGGACGTGGTGCTGCAGCAGCCCTTCCCAAGGTTGTGCCAGGCCCAGCCACCACCCCAGTCCCCTCCCCACCTCCCTGGCAGCAAATGCCCCCAGAGCAGCCAGCAGCCCCTACCCAAGGCTGCGGGGAGCCGCGTGCCTCTGGCTGGGGCACCGCTGGGGTTTTTATTTCTGACTATTGTGAGCTGGCCCACAGTCAGGTGGGGCCAGGCCAGGAAAATGAACTGGTGTGAGCAGCGCAGCCAAGCCCAGCTCCCTCCCAGCACTGCCGGGGACGTGGCAAAGGGCACAGCTTCCCCAAGGTGCTGCAAGGCACATACTGCACAGGGGGTGTATTGCCCCTCATCCTCCTCCTCCTCACTGCCCCCAGAGCTGTCTTGCTGCAGGATCAACCTGTATTTCCTAACAGCCACACACATACATTAATAATAATGATAATAATTAATAATTAATAACCCCATGTGAGCCAGTTAGCACTCAAACCATGAAGGAAAGGCAGCTGGCTGGCAAATTGAAGCTCATCATCCTCTTCGCAAAATGCACAGGGGAGAAAAAATAATGTAACAACATGCTGAAGTCATTATGCAATGCTGATGCTGTGCTGGCGGCTCGTCCCAGCTGAGCTCCAGCGTGCTGGAGCTCCTGGGCCCAGCTCTGGCCTGGGGCTCGGCTGACAGACAAGGAACAGTGAACAGAGCTCCATCTGCAATGGCAGCTGTGTTTGTGGCCAGTGTTTGGGGCCAATGGAAGCCTCCCCGCTGCCCAGCGAGTGGCTGGCTGTGCTGGTGAGGCAGACAGGGCTGTGTGTGTGTGTGACACATGTGTGGCTTCAGGAGAAGGTGCTGTGGCTCTGTCCCATGGAACTGAAGCATTCCCAGCAAGGCTAGTGCTGCTCCAAGGGCAGTTGTTAGCTGTGAAAAGTATTAAATAGCACACACAAAAAACCCACGCAAACAAAAACCAGGAAGAAAAAAAAACCAAAACTCAAAAAACCTAAACTTTACAAATGCATCTGCTGCATGAAATCACTTCCTTTGGGGCAAGCCTTCAGCCGTGCAGCCACGTGGGCTGGGGAAGGCAGCAGCAGGATCCTGGAGAGCCAGGCAGGTGGGGGTGGGCAGTGCCTCATCGGGCAGCCCAGCCGCAGGGCAGTGGGGCTGTTCTGCTTGTAGTGCTTTAGTGGTGAGTGAGGGGCCCCAGCACCCTGCTGAGGGGCTGGGCTGGGCTGCTCCACCACACTGCTGCATCCCAGGGCTTCCTGCTGAGGGAGGCTGCATGGGCAGCATTTGGGAGGGAAGGATGAGCAGTGGGGCTCTCTGGTCAGGCCCAGCACCTGAAGCCGGGAGCTGGACTTCTCCTGCTGCCCAAGCACACTGCAGGGAGAGCGGCCCCATCCCAAGTGTGGGTGTCTGCTGCCTGGTCTCTGGCTCATCAGCCCACCTCTGGCAGCCTAACAGGGACAGGAACGAAAACCAACCCACAATCCAGGACAGCGCATAAGCAGCAGGGATGGCCCGTGTCCCCCACGGTGCGGGGGGCCCCGGGACCGTCCCTGGCGAGGAGCCAGCCGAGCTGCGCTATCCCCGGGCAGGAGGCGGCCATGGGGTGAGGTCAGGCACAGCAATGGGCTAAGGGGGCTGTCCCTGCTGTGCCCTCGTGCCAGGAGCCCAGGATCTGCCAGGGAAGGGCTCAGGCTGGCGGCAGGGCCTGCTGCGTGCCGGGGCTGCCCCGTGCGCTGCCACAAGAGCTACTGCAGGGATTTGACAATGGCCCTCAGGGCATGGGGCGTCTCTGGGACGGACGGGGACGAGCTGTAGAAGGTGTCGCTGTGATTTCTGCGCTGCTCTCGGAGGTATGGAGGGACAGATGAACTTTTGATGTGGAGGATCCTGGTGTCCATCACTTCGCAGTCAATCTGCATCATCACCTCGTAGTCCTGCCCATTGATCACATTCTCTGCAAAAGTAAGGATAAAAAAAAACCAGGTCAGAGTTAGCTCTGCAAGCTAGGGATCCAACAGCACTAAAAGCAGAGCTTTCTGGACCCCTTTTTGTCTGGAGCAGGAGCTGCAGTGGGGGAACTCCCTTTCTGCAGCTGCACACATGGAGCTCCATCTCACACAGCAGAGCCCCAGACTGCTCGTGACACCTCAAAGAGCCCAGACCACACTTAGCATGTGCAGTCACACCTAGAAATTAATGTCTTTTATTTCCCCTTCTTCATCTGCACATCATTACTGATGGAGTTCGCACTGTGTAACATTCATTACAGAACTGTTGTACTTAAGCTACTAAAGTATGGGAGTAATTGAAAATAAAGTTTATTTAAGAAAGCTGAATGTTTCACTTTCTGTAACCCTCTTGACACTGGGGACCTTGAGAAATTTCTTCACCAGTTTATTAACAAAAACCCTAAAATGTGATCTCTCAAAAGAATTAACTGTGCCTCATTCCCATGCTGACCTGGCTGCTGTACTTGAGTGACGCGGTGGCACTGGGCAAGGCCACTCCCCTGACAGAGCCCTGGGCACAGGAAGACCTTGAGCAGCACACAGGACCCCAGCGTGGCCCCCAGCCCGGGACATCTGCTGCCACAGGAGCTGCTGGGCTTACAGGCTGTGCACATGGCTAGCATCTGCTGCCTGGATTTAAAGGTGGGAGACTATTCCCTGCACAGACAGTGTGCCCAGGAATGCAAGAGCTGAGATTGGATTTCCAGGCAAGACCAATCCTTTCAGAGCCAGAAGACTGCCATTGGCTGGGCTTCCTTTCTGTGCGCAGGAGGATGGAAGATCACCTAATGGAAAGCGTATGGACTGGAGGAATGCAATATACATTACTAATTTTTACTGTTTTCCTGGATTAACTCTGACTCTGGATGACAGCTGAGGACCGTGGCCGGACCCTGTTGTACCCCACGCCACCTGCAGAAGCCATTAGATCAACCATGTCTGGTACAGTAATGAAAGGCAGGAGCAAACCCTGGCTAAGGGGGCTGAGAGCCTGCAAGGGAAATCAAAGCTTGCACCTGCCAGGAACGAAATGGAAAAAGGTCTGTATGTGCCACCAAGAGACTGAGGCCAGGAGCAGCTGTGCAAGTCTCTGTGCCACTGACCCAAAGCCCTGACGAGCACCTCACCCTTCCTGGATGCTGCACTGCTGATAAAGCCCTGCTATGACATAAGGGACCCTTTCAGAGGCCATTCCTCCAGGTCACCCCTTCTCTCTGCCTTTGGAGGTGCTCTAGGCTCCCAGCCACGGGCTCAGGACCAGTCAGCAGAGGGAGCTGGGCTGCTGGTGCCACTCAGGAGAGGGGGCTGGAAAGGGGAGCAGAGGGGCACAAGGGGAAGCTGAAGGGCACAGAGCCTGGAGCCAGCAAATGGGCACAGATGGGCTCCCTGTGACACAGCAAGCAGGAAACAACTCCTCAGCTCTCATGCTGTAGTTGATGGAACCCCAGCTATGTGAGAAACAGTGCTCCAAGGCCACAAGTGGGTGAGGTGGGATGGGACGGTGGCCAGGGCCAGGAAAACATCTTGATAGTGCAGTGAGCTTCCCTGACTCTTGGCAGCCAGCACAGAGGGCTATCATTAAGTTCTGGGCATTGCACAAGACAGAGGAGAACAGCAATCCCAAGGGCTGCCCAGGCAAGGCAGGGAGCTGTGCTGTGTGGGTGGCACTGGGGAACCAGCCCAGCCCATTCTGACCAGCTGGGATCCCCATCCCCCTGTGCTGACACAGCTCCCTCCCAACAAAGTGTGCCAGGATTAAGTAAGTCAGAGCTCTGCCACCCCACGGCACGAGGGGCTGTGTCTCCTGGGTCCGCCACAGCAGCAAGAGCTGGGAGGAATCACTCCCATGATGAGCTTCTCAGGCCAGCAGGCACACAGGGGATGCACACCCCCCACACAGACATTCACAAATACCCAAATCCTGCCCTCGGCCTGTGAGTTAGCCCAGGAGTTAAAGGCAGGTTTGAAGTCAGCACCTGATTCTTTCCCTTTTTGGGGTAAAAGCATTGACCTGCTGCAGAAAACCTCTGCAAAGGCTTTGATCTCACAGGGGTGAGGGCAGCAGTGGGAATGGCTCAATGCCCACTACAGGCATTTCCAGCAGCCTTTCTCATTACCCTTAGCTCCAAACAGACACAGAAGAGGAGGTGGGATTTCCTCACAGACCACAGTTACTGCTTGGTGCTGCTGCCAGGCACCTGGCCCAGCCTCATTCTAAGGAGGGTTCTGAAAGCAGTGGCAGCCCCAGGACAGCCAGCCCACCCCAGCCCAGGGAGGGCTGATGCTCTGTGAATGCCCTTGTGATGGTCCCAGCAGAACAACAGGCAAATGTGACCCGAGTAGAGCTGGCACAAGCCCCTGTTTGGGAAGACTAGCTCACTGTCATTGCAAGAAATGACTGCACATGGCTCCGTCCTGAGCTCGATGCCATTAAACTGCTTCATGATCTGCATGAGGAATAGACAGCATACTTAGAAGATTTCTGGAAGATGCTAAACTGGAGAGATTCCAACGACCTTGGAGTGGCTAGATTGGATGAGACTGCAATTTTGATAAAAGAGAGAAGCTGTCCAAAATTTTCAGAATGTATTTCAACCACAGCCAGAGCTGGAAAATGAGTAAAAATGGGGCCGGGCAGAAGTACTACAGAAAAACCTTGAGGACTGCAGAGGATCACTGTGGATAAGCCAGCAGAATGACAGGATTAGAAACAACAGCTCGACTGCAAAAGAAACATATTTAACTTTGACCAAGTTTCTAACGATAATGAAATACAAGCCCTGGATGAAAGTACCTTGGGGAGATGAGAGGATCTTCATGATGAAGAGTTTTTAAGGAAAGGCTGGAGGAGCAGCTGCCTATCAAGCCCTTGGGTACCAGAGCTCCACAGACACTTGCATTCACTCCTGGTCCTCTGGCCCTGCACCTCTGTAAGCTGCAAGCTCCCACTCCTGACCACAGCTGTGGTCAGCACCTTCCTCAAACCCAGCACCTCGAGCTGTGGGTTCTCCACTGGACTCCATGGTCTGATGTGATTCCCAGAACAAGCAAACGATATTGCCTGGTGATTCCTGTGTTAGATCATTCAAAACCAGCCTTGTCATGCTTTCTCTCCTTCCCCTCCCGTGCAGTGCCAACATCTGGAGGCACCAGAGGGGCAGAGGGTGGGTTTCCAGAGGGCTGTGCCCAGCACTGAGCTCAGCAGGTGCCTGTGGCTGATCCAGAGCTCAGGCCAGCCTGCACTGCCCTGCCTGAGCACACAGGCACCAGCCCTCCCAGCGAGGCACAGGTAGCAGGGTGTCTGTGGGGCAGGAGTGACAGCCCCAGGCTGCTGCCTGCTGCTCAGGCGCTGGCTGGAGGGTCAGCACTGCCAGTGTGCGTTACACAAGGGCAACGCTGACACACACCGATCTTCACTGTCCTCAATTACCAATGACTGGTGTTTGGTGGGGTTGTGTAAATGAAAGCACATCTCCTGTAAAGGAGAGATAGATTAATAATAGATTAATAGAGAGATAGATCAATAAATAGATTTATTGCTCCTCTTTGAAGTTCAGAACATACAGTTTTTCACACAGTGCAGACTCAGGCTAAAGAAGCTATCCTTGCTGGGCCAAGAGCCTGTGCTGCAGTTAATTCTTTGTTAACAGCTTTAAAAGCCATGCAGATGACTGACTATTTCAAATTAATAGCAAAGGTAATTGTGCCAAGCGTTGCAGCTCTGACTGCACCTTCCCAAAAAGCCTTACTGGCTCTTGCAGGCTGTACCAAACTCCCAGCACGAGCTTGGTCTGGGGAACAGAAACCTAATTCCCAGTGCTGCTCTCTCTCTAAAAATAATCACATTGCAAGATCCAACAGATGAAAGCTGAAGTCTGCAGTCCAAACCAAAACCAAATAGGGCTGAGGGCATTAACTACTGCTACAAATTACTGAAGATGATAGAAGATTGTCTTCATATTTGAAGCACTACATTTTAAAAACTGTAAAGGCCATAAAACCAAAATCCTCCTTCTTCCCTCAGTAGCACTGGCATCCATCAATCAGTTGGCTGTTCAAATGTCTGTGAGACTGAGCACCTACTTCTATGGGAGATACTCTCTCAGAGAAAGGAAGAAGACAGGCAGAGAGCTTGAAAGGCAGGCAATGAAACTTTTGTTCTGCAGTTAGTAAGAACAAATGGTGATGTCAGTTCTTTCCACAGACTTCAACTTTACACATATCATCAGGCTGTTTGGCCTTACGGACACACCTGTCTGAAAGAAGATGTAATTCTAGATAATTTATCCTTTCCTATTTACATCTTCCCCAAAAAGCTTTGCTGCAGCAAATGTTCACTGTGAAAACTGGTGTCTGCAGAGAAACTGAAACAGAGCTCCCCTGAAAGGCCACCTGAGCTTGCTGGACTGTTTCAAACACCATGGAAAGGTTTTACAGCTTTCTGAAGGTGCACTCATGCCATATGTACATTTATAGTGCCTTATTCTACCAGAACTATAAATTTTACTTTGCTCTCGGCAATATCACAGTGTATTACCAAAAAAATACTCAGTGGCACCAATACTCTATCATGCAGTGAGGTCCTCAGTCCTCAGGCCCTTTTCTAAGGCCCCCAGCTGCCTTTGAAGCAGATAACCATGTGCCAGTACCTACTGGCTGCTTTCTCACTAGGTAACTTAAAATGGTCAGAACCTGCCTGGCTCTGTATCTGCTGTGCTCACTGAACACACATTTTAGGTGCTGTCAGCCACACAGATCTGGACTACATGTCCTTACTCCTTCTAAGTACAGGGAGGGCAATCACTCACCCCGTCCTTATTTAACTACCTGTCTTTGTCAGTAAGGAGAGAGAATCATCCCCTCCTTGTGTGGGGGGTGGGGAGCAGAAGGTGACTTTGCTATCCATGGAACCAGTTTAACTGATGTCAAAATAGGAGCCAGCGAA